AGTCTCAGAGCAGAGCAACCGTGTGGATCACAAGTGCCTCCCAGACTGCCAATTGTCCTTGTGCCAGGCAGGCAGATGTTATATGGTCTAGAGGGGGGCGTTTCCCCATCTATCCATCAGAAAGTGACATCAGGTATCACAACAGTGCTGCGCTGATCCCACAAAGTCCTATGACTCAGACTTGGAGTGGCTACCTGGTCAGCTTCTTGGTTTTACCATGGAGAAAAATACCTGGGCTATCAGAGCAGTCCTGGCCAAGCAGAGCCCGGAGGCGGGTCTTGATCCCTGTGCAACTCTGTGAGGCCCCATCTCACAGGTCCCCTGCACCACCCCAGGCCAGCTGTCTTCACAGGACAGCAGCTGCCACATGTGTCCTTTGAGGTAATCAAAGGAAACTTTCCAAAATGAATACTCTCCCCCCACTTCATGTACCAAAACTCGGAGTTTCCATGGTGATAGTCAAATTGCAAATCCATCCAAGAGTGAGCTGGTGGGGGAAAAGAGGGAGTTTGGCCCATCCCCAGAGAAGCAGACATAGCTGGCACCAAGTGTCTGTCCAGTGCTGAGGATGGATGCCCAGAGAAGCAGGGCAGCCCTTTTGGGTGTGATGGGGGAAATCTCAGGGACACCAGGCTCCCCAGAAAGTGGTTCAGGAACTCAGGCCACCAAGGAGGGAAGGCAGGAGGGAGTCTCCTCCCCCCACCCTCATCACAGAGCCTAGTGAATCCATGTAATGATACTGCTTCTCCTGAAGGCAATCGGGACTGGCTTTTCCCTGGGGGTTTCCCATCTTCGATCTGAAAACTAAGGCGTGGGCAGAATGCAGAGGCTCGTCACTGAGCCATCCCAGACACAGCCTTTAGGGAATTATAAGGGAAAAAAAAATTTTTAAATCAGGCCTCAGACATTCCAAGTGTTTTGTGGAGGATGGAAGAGCAAGGGCCAGAAGATTTATGAGCCTAAAATCTTCGTTAATAGACCCAAAAGATTTACGATGCCAGCTGCTGTTTGGAGGAAGGTGGCAATGGTGATCGAATGGCAAATTAGCCCAGGGTTGGGCCTTACAGGGACAGGAAGACAAAAGAGCGGCTTCCTTGGCCATGAGAGGAAGCTATGACTAGTAGGGTAAAGAATGTTTGTGTGAGCTGCCCTTGGCCCAATCTTCTCCCCGAGCCTCTTTCCTTAGAGACAGGAAGTGCCAAGGCCAGGCTCTGACCGACTCAGCAGACTTATTTCAGTTTGTTTCTTTCAAGTAGGGTTTATGAGAACAGATTAGAAATGGGATTTGGGTCTGCAGCACAAAGCCTTCCACACCGAGGCCTAGCTCCAGTTTGAAATCCCAGGCACAATGAGACAGGGGCAGCTCATCCTAGAGAATGATACGTAGCTGGCTGGTCTTTGCTCTGTGACACTCTCGTGAACTCTTACCATGAGGCTAAGACTGTCCCTGCTTTATCATGACTGGGCCCTTTGGGGTGTGTGACAGGAGAAAAGAGTAGGTCAAATGATAGAAACTTAGGGATGTTTACTGGGTGAGTTTTCACCTTGTACAACACAGGAACCCCATGAAGACAAGGCAATATGGGTGTCCTTCACCTCACCTCCTGCTGCTATTTTGGACGGACATACAACTCCCATGTTGCATGGCACCTGTGTCTTGTGATTTGAGTCTCACTTCTGTGACTACATATAATGGAGGGAGAGGGGTAGAACAATGGGACAGATAAGCTTGCCACCATAACCTGAGTCCTGGGACACCCTACCCCATAGTCTACTGCCCAGGCCTTTGCCATTTTCCCATTGGCAACAAGGGATCCAGGAAATACTCAACACCCCCAGCAACTCTATGTCCACCTTAGCCTCTAACTACACAGATACTGCAGGTCAGCTGGGGAAAGGAGAGGTAGAAGCTGTGACATCTCCAAGTCAGGAACTATGACTTGATGCCAGAGCACCTGGAAAGCCAGTGTGAAGGTCAGTCACCAGCTCTCCACAGGGACTGTCTTCCCACTGAGTTCCACGGTACCTGGCTCCCCTTCTGGCAGAGTTTCGGGGAGCATTAGCCGCGATCCTCCTTTAGCCATACCAAAGGAGGACATTGGGAGCCACTTGCTCCAGATGTCTAAGCATCCTTGCCTCCTGCCTACCTCCTCCCACCCCTTTGTCTAGGGACCACAGGACTGGTGTTTAGTCAGCCAGGAAATGAGTCAAAACAACGTAAGTGCTTACAGCACTGATGCCCGCGGGATCTGATCTCAGTGGATCGCTGCTCAAAGCCACGCAGTCCCGGATCTGAAAAGCAACTACAAAATAAGCCAAGTGTCTCCTTGTATTTCTTAGGTTCCATGAAGGAGAACACAGCCCATTGACATTCCTCCTCTTTTTACTTCTACATCAGAAAAGCCACAGCAGAGTCTTCCTGCCAGGCAGAAGGAGAAGATCATAGCAGAAAAGGGGGCAGATCCTTGAGTAGAAGGAGGCAGAGGCATGGGCCAACCGTCATCATACTTGCCCTATGCCTTGGGTCACTCCCTAAAGAGGAGGGCCCCAAGATTCTTGGTGGGCAGGGGAGTGGGCTTCTCCTGAAAGTGAGAAGAGCCTTTGTAGAGGGTGAAACTGGGATCTATGGGATTTTTTTTTTTTTGGTCAGTCATGAGGCCTGAACTCTGGGCGTGGGCGCTGTCCCTCAGCAATTCAGCTCAAGGCCAGAGCTCTACCACTTGAGCCACAGCACCACTTCTGGCTTTTTCTGTTTATGTGGTGCTGAGGAATCGAACCCAGGGCCTCATGCATGCAAGGCAAGCGCTCTACCACTGAGCCACCTTCCCAGCCCCTCTATGGGAATTTTTGTTTGTTCTGTGCTGGTACTGGGGCTTGAACTCAAGGCCACCTGCTCTCGCTTGACTTTTTCACTCAAGGCTGGTGCTCTACCACGTGAGCCACGTCCTTCTCCACTTCCAGATTTTTGCTGGTTAATTGGAGATCAGAGTTTCATGTATATGTCTGCCTGGGCTGGCTTTGAACTGAGATCCTCAGATCTCAGCCTTTTGAGTAACTAGGATTACAGACCTGAGACACTGGCACTCAGCAAGACCTGTGTTTTTGCTGGACCTGATAGGCCATGTCAGGGTCCCTGGTGAGGGACCTTAAGGCCTGGAGTTGAGCATGACCAGCGATGATGGTGATGAGAAGACCAACAGGTGGTGAAACTGGCAGGATGTGAGATGTGAGGGTGAAGGTGATAATACCTCTATAAGGCACCTACTGTGTGCTGGCCATTCAGCTGTGGAAGCCCAGCACTGAGGCTCTATTATAGGGCCAAAAAAAGGCCAGCCAGCTTTGAGCCTCTGGATGCCTGCATCTGGGACCTGTGACTACCTCAGCAGAAAGGTGACATAGATTGAGGCACAGAAACTTTCCAGGAAGTTCCAGATCCAGATGGAAGCCCCATTTCCCCTTCCGGTCTCTCTAGCAGATTTCCCTAACTGAGCAGGCACTTCCTCCTGTTGAGCCTAATGCAGTCTGAGAATGTTGCATGCTGCTCACAAAGGACTTGGCAGATCAAATGAAACCTATTAGCCACCCTGGGTATAGATCAATCCTGCTTCTAATCTTGTCTCCTACCAAATGAGGGCCTGCAGCTCAGGGCTGTTGGGAGGGTTAAGACTGGCTTTCTAAGCACCTAACACTGTCTGCAAGACCCCAACCTACTCTCCCTCCCCTCTCTGTAACTGGCATTTTGCATTTCAAAGTAAAACACATCAACAGAGGCCCTCATTGGTCACCTATGAGAGCTGGTTACCTTTGATTTCACACCTTTCTGTGCATTTTTGCTTATGATCCTTACAGCCTTTAATTAACATGCTATGCAAATTGATGAGAGGAGTCAGGAAAGAGGCCAGAGCTCTTGCATTAAAACCAAGTCTTTGTAAGATCTTGATAGAAGGGAGGGGGGAGAAAGCCTACTGAATTAAGTGGGCAGGACAAGTGTAAAAAACAGGAGGAAGAAATGGAAAAATATAGAAAGATTTCACAGTCACATCGCTTTGCAGTGTCTTTAAGCTCCTGCTTCAGCTTAAAGCATCTGAAACAAGTCATAAATACTGAGACTTGGATTCAGTTTATACACACAGGGCTGTGTGGGCCCCATCTCTAAGCCCTGAAGCCTGCCTCATAAGGTGGGCACATAGATGTACATTTCTATGTTTAAAATGAAAATAGACTGTTTGGAGGATGAATATATCCTGTATCACGACACCCACTGTTGAACCAGCCAAATCTGGTCTTCTTGAGTATAGAAAAGAAGCCTTTTACTGTGAGAGCTCCTTCTCTTCCCCCCCCCACCCCCAGTTCCACCCCCTCCCTGTTCCTGAGATGGTGCCCTCTTCCCTCTCATTGGTACTTCACTGGGTGGACTGAGATAAGGATCCAGGCCTCCTGGCTCCCTGTTCAGCTCTTCTGGGGGGAAGATCCTCAGGTTCTCAGGTTCCGGAGCCTGTCAGAGCCTGCTCCTCTGACCTGTAGCCTGGGCCTCAGTGTTCTCATCTATGAAATGGGTGGCACTATTTCTTATGGGTTATTCTGAAACCTTTAGCCTTACTAGGTGGAAGGCCTTGGAATTGCTTTGCCTACACCAGTTGGGATCATTCGCTTCTGCCAGGCAAGGAGAGAGGGTGTCAGAGAGGGTGACTGGGGGTAGGGGAGAAGTCTGACGAGGGAGCTAGCCCTCCCTGCTAGAGCTGGGCATACAGAGCTCAGATCCTAGCTTCTGCATATCAGCTTTCCCTCTGACTAGCACAAGGAGGACTCCACCATCACCTCACCCCCCCTCACATACGCGCACACCAGTGCCTTACCTCCAGACCCCCAGCAGTGTTTCTTATACCCTAGCTGGCTGAGGTTTTCAGTCATTTTGTCATGGCAGGAGAGAGGCCTGGCCTGACCCCCTCTGTTCAAGCAGCAGCAGGAAGGGTGATCTCTCTTTATGTCTGGCTTTCCAGTGGTTTCCAGTGACAGTGATAGTGACTCAGATCTCAGCTCCTCCAGCCTGGATGACAGACTTCCGTCCGCTGGGGTCAGGGACATGAAAGGTGATAAACCTGGAGGAGAATCAGGTAAGTGTGGGAGGTCGACTGTTTGTTTTCCAAGCCGGAGGCACAGAACGGCTTGGCTGAACTCCTCTGGTAGAAGCTTCCCTGTCTAGTGTATGAAATTGTTGGAGATGAGGTAGGGTTGTGCTTAGAGAGTGCTCCCCCATGAGCTAAAGCCTTAGTGCTCCTGAAGAGCCACACGGACTAGAGGCAGGTCTAGCCAGCCATGCCCTCTGCCTGGACAACAAGCTCCCCCAGGAACATTCCCCAGCTGAGATTTTGCCTTGTGAATGAAAAAAAAACAAAACCAAAAAGAAAACTGTGAAAATCAGGCACCACGCTTGCTTAGCTAGTCCAGATCCACTGGAAACTGCAGTGGAGTCCTTATTCCTGCTCACCTCCCTGCTGGCCCTTCTTTTTTAGCACAAGGGAGATGGAGCAGAAAAGTTCCTGATTTTGCTATCTGTGTAACATCACTTCTGTGAGGGTCATATGACAGAGGGTTAACTCACATATTGAAGGAGAAAAGAGAAGGCCTTAGGAAGGAAAAGGAAAGCAGTTTCCTTACCTTCAAATCAGGTGAAGAAGGTTCTGGGAACTGGGTTTTTTGTCTTTTTATTCTTGGGAGGGTTTTGGTGCGAGTACCAGGATTGAATTCAAGGCCTCATATTTCTCAGTCAGCTTGCTTGTTCATGGCTGGTGCTCTACTGCTTGGAAACATGCCTTCAGTCCAACTTTTTTGCTGGTTAATTGGAGATAGAGTGTTGTAGATTTTTCTACTAAGGCTGGCTCTGAAACTTGATAGTCAGGTCTCAGCCTCCTTAGTAGCTAGGATTATAGGTGTGAGCCACCAGTGCCAGGTGAGGAACTGGAACTTTGAAAGAAGTTTCAGGAAGGTCAATTTTAGTGCAAAATTTAGTCTTATAATAATTGCCCCAAACTGGACTTTTTTAAACAGCTTCAGGTGTTGTCCTAAAACCAAGACTGAGTGATCCTCTGCCAGAGCTGATGTGAAAGGAATTTCTGCTAGGAATGGAAGTTTGGGATAGATCAGAGGTAGTAAAGGCTTGGGCACACATTCTATTTCTCAGTGTCTGATGCTATGGCAGACATTACTAGTCGATCATGAAATACTTTTTTTTTGTTGGTCATGAGGCTTGAACTCTTTGCCCGGGTGCTGTCCCTCAGCTCTTCAGCTAAAGGCTAGCATTCTACCACTTGAGCTACAGCACCACTTAAAGTTTTCTGAGTGGCTTTTGAGAGATAAGAGTCTCACGGACTTTCCTGCCTGGCTTTGAAACGTGATCCTCAGATCTCAGCCCCCTGAGTAGCCAGGATTACAGGCATGAGCCACCAGTGCCCTGCTTGAGAGAGAATTATTTAATGAATATAATCAGGAAGTAATATCTCCTCTTTACAGCTGAGTTAACATACCATTCCTCCACCCTCATTCTGTAAAGATAGGAAAAGCTAGTAATTATGCATTTTCACATTGTTCCTTAGTGAAATGGCCTAGGGTCCATTCTGTTGCCTTGGTATATCAGACCAATTAACAGAGACAGAAGTTAGGTCCTGTTAGAAGATTCTTGAAGACAGCATCCATGTGAATGAGAGTAAACTCCCAACATAGGAGTTGCGGGCAGATAGTCCTATGATTCCAAATGAGAAGATATGACCAGCTCCTGGCTAGGCTGAGTTTTATCCCTGACTCAGTTTTGGATTCAGACAGCACAGAGCCATGCAGGCCCACATGTGGTCTCTTGCAGGTGGCAGTGTGGGGGCCCCCTGGATGGAGCTCACCGGGCTGCCCAGCCACCTCTCTGGGAGCCAAAGCAGTTTGGCCAGCGAGGCTGGGGCAGGTCCTGCAGACCCACAGGGAGGCACCCTGCCCCAGCCTGAGCCCAAGGGTTCTGGTGAGTATCACCCACACCTCCTAGCTGCCACTTCTTCCTGCTGTCCTGCACACACACACACACACACACACACACACACACACACACACACACACACGGCGCCCTCTACCTCCTCTAACACTCCACAGTGGTACAGTAGTGTGTAACATTTTCAGTTCTCCATGGTGACCAAGCATGGTGCCAGATGCTGGGTAACAAAGGTGAGGTACTGGTGATGCCTGGGTTCTAATGAACACACAGAAGCAGAGAGAGACAGATAACAGGTCTTGAAGCACTCAGCCAATGGATGGAGAGGATCTGGCCCAGAGTACAGGCTCTCTGCACTTGGCCCAGCCTTGGCTCCCTGCTTCCCACACCTCTGTGGTTCCTTTCAGATGAGCAGAAGGCATACGGCTGTGTGGGAACTGACTGACCCAGTGAGGACCCATTCCATCCCCACCTGTCCTCACTTTTCTTTCTTCTCCCAAAGGCAAGAGATACACCTGGGCGAGTCCTCGCTGTTGATGTGGCCTCAGTCCGTCCCCTCAGCCTGACCTGGACTCTGATGTTTGTTTCATGAAGCTAATTCTCCAGTGGAAATTCTAAGAGAGAGAGAGAGAGAGCACATGAGCACTGGAGCCAGGCTGCCAGGCTCCTTTCTGAAGGGGGTCTGAGCCCATCAACCTGTGTCCATGACCTCTAATTTTAAACCAGTGTTTGGGGGCTGAACCTTCTAGTCCCACCCAGTGCCTTTCTGCACCCTCCTGGCAAGGGCCTCTTCATCCAACACTCCTCTACCCCCTGGCCTTCACCTGTATTTATTGTCCTTCCCTCATTCCCCAGACTGCCCCAAGTTCACGTTTAGGGTCTTGGGCTGGCTGGAAGGGCCCTTCCTGTATGCACTGCAGCTGTGTCCTGCAAGGCATTCTCTGGAATGGTAGTCACAGTGAGAACTGTAACCCAGAGTGTTCCCTTCATTGTGTGGGTATACACGGAGCCCAGAACAGGTGGGAGGAGAGATGGCCACACTTTGCCTTGCTCCAGGAGCTCTGTTTAACCTTACTCATTGTTAGGTTTCTTGAGTCCCTCCATGGGCCTCCCAGACTTTTCTCAGCCAGGAAACATGTCTCCCCTAAGACATGAATTCACTGATCTTTAGTAGATGCTGGCTGGTATGAAATATACTCAGTATAAATGCTTCTGAAAAACCCTTTCCTGAAAACAGAATGTGTGTGTGTGTGCGTATGTGTGTGTACGTGTGTAATGTCTCTCTTTCCTTCCCCCACCCACCCCAGTCTCATAAACTGGGAGCTCCCAGGCCTTAGCCTTTCTCTTTGCCACTGGCAGAGATAGAAAAACTCACTGTTTTCCTGTGACATGTTATGCTTTAGAATTGAAACAATAAAGATTAGAATTTGCATTGAGCTGGTGTGGTGATCAAAGACCCTGATGGCCTGTGTTTCTGAGCTGCATCAGGAGAAGTGGATGAGAGAAAAGAAAAAACAAAACAACACAAAAAAACATAGCTCCATTGATTTGCTGCCATGAAAGGAATGAGCTAGATCTATGTGTGTCTTAGAGTTCACAACCCTAATGCTGAGTAAAAAAGCAGGCCATCTAAAAAAAATCTAAATGAGTTATACATATGTACCTGTATATGGGTTTATGGGTTTTGTGTGTTTTTTGGAGCGGAGGGATATACTAAGAATTGAACCCGAGGCTTGCATGTGTTAAACAAGCTGAGTGCTAAAACAAAACAAAAAACAACCAAAAAAAGCATACACACACATACACACTTTTTTCCCCCCATCATGGGGTTTGAACTCAAGGTCTGGGCGCTGTTCCTGAGTTCTTTTGCTCAAGGCTAGAGCTCTACCACTTTGGGCCATAGCTCCACTTCCAGTTTTTGAGTAGTTAACTGCAGATGAGTCTCACAGGGACTTTTCTTCCCAGGCTGGCTTTGAACTGTGATCCTCAGATCTCAGCGTCCTGAGTAGCTAGGATTACAGGTGTGAGGCATTGGCACCTAGCTTTTGTTTTTGTTTTGTTTTTTGTCAGCCATGGAGCTTGAATGCAAGGCCTGGGTGCTGTCCCTGAGCTCTTTTGCTCAAGGCTCTTTTGCTTTGCCACTGAGCCACAGCTCTGCTTTCCTTAAAAAAAATTTAATGGTTAAAGACTTCTGGTAACATACAGTGGCCTGAAGACATACATAATTTCTTTTGTTCCCCATCCCAGTTCCCTCTAAAATGACACAAAGATATTAAGATGGCATAAACCCCAAAAACTTACCTGAGATTATGAGTACTTCTCTGTGACTCAGTTTTCTCATCTGTAAAAATGAGGACTATTATAAACATGAAAGCTATACCAAGCATAGTGGTGGGTTTCTGTAATCCCAGCTACTCCAGAAGTGGAGTCAGGAAGATCATGGTCCAAGACTGGCCCAGGCAAAAGCACAAGACCTTACCTCAAAAACAAACTACAAGCAAAAGGGCTGAGGCACAGCTCATCAAGATGGCATAAAAAGACAGTCCAGTGACTGACTGATGGTGCTTGGGACCAGCTAATGTTCCTACTCTGGCATTTGGGATTTTGGAAGCGTGATGCCCAGCTGGATCAATTCTGCTATTGGCTAGATCCTGGACAGCTGCTGGGGTCTTGTTAGAGACTTTGGCACAGTAGACGACAAAACAGACATGGCCTCTGTCCTGTTGAGTCACCCAGTAGACTAAAAACAGATCACCGGTGCCCTCCCCAGAATGACTGTTGTGAGGGTGAGGAGCTGAAGAGGAGCAGGCTGGGAAGGTGCATTTTTACATCCCCTGGTGATGGAGAGGCTCCGTAGGTCGAGACTGCCGTGCAGACCCCTTGCTCTGTGGAAACCATTTCCCTGCATTTCCTAGAATTGACACCAGCACCAGCTGGGGGACTTGACACAGACCTTGCAGGGGACAGAGGGGAGGGGAGGAAGACCAGGCTCAGTGTGCAAGGTGAACCCCCATCTCCGTGTGACTCCTCAGGAGAAGCCCTGCTGCGTGTCCCACCCCAGGACAGAACTAATGCATCCATGGCAGGATCACCTCCAACAGCTCAGCTCATTAGAGCCATTTCCACCCCCCAAAAGTGGGAGCTGCCATCCTTCCTTAACATGACAACACCCACTCTCTGGCATTGCACCTCCAGGTTCCTAGGAGCCTGTGTTCTGGGTCTGCATGTCCCCGCTCCTCCTGTGAATGTCGCTGTGTCCTGCCCAGTGCAGGGCGCAGCAGGGGGAGGCTGCCAACTCAGGCAGGTAGGCCTCCTACCAAGGATGCCAGGCAGCACCCCCACTCACCACCACAGTCCTCCATTCTACAGAGCCAACGCCAAAGACAGACGAAGCATTTTGCCATGACGGGAAGATTACCACTATGGCTTCTATCACCCCTGCTACCAGCTCTGAGGAATCCTTATGTTCCTAAGAGTCACATCATTTTCACACCATCCATTTCACAGAGGAGGAAACTGAGGCCCAGAGAGACCCTGAAACACCTGTGTTTGCATCTGGGGCAGTTGAATACCAGAACATGCCCTTGAGGCTTTGCTTGTAAAAACAAATCAGGATTCTGAGAACAGAGAAAGTTGGTATAGGCAGAAGGGCAGCCCCGCTGGGTCAGTAGCACAGATGGAAACTTCTAGAGAAGAACGGGAAGAAACAATCCCTTATCCTACTGCTACAAAGAAATTTTGCCAACACCCCTCCCCCCCCACACACACACTTATTTTGTCCATGGCTCTGTGTAACCAAGAGTGGCAGGAACTGACATCTATCTTCCTTCATCAGGGTGAGATAGTGAAGCAGCTGTCCCTTCCAGCCACATTTGGGAGAGTAAAGTGTGGCTTTGGCCTAGAGAGCTTCCAGAAGCTTCCGGTGATCAAACAGCCCTGCCTCCCCACCCGGGCTGTCTCTGCATTCACTATCACCCCTCCAGGGCTATAAGAGCCAGGCCAGGACATGTCTGGCCCCTGCAGTCCAAGAGGAGGAGGAGGAGGAGGATGCTTCACAGACCCCCAGCTCATCCCCTCACCATCCATACCCAGAATTTGTTTCCTTGTCCCAAATGGAAGCTCTGTACCCATTTAGCAGTAGCTCTCCACACCCACTTTCCCAGCTCCATAACCACCACCAACTTCCTGTGTCTTATTTCTGACCACTCTGTCCTTCCTTAGGGAGACAGTCCAATAGGGTCTGGCAGTATCCTCAGGGCACACCTGTGCTGTGTGTATTTAGGGCTGAGTTTATACCCACTGTGTGGGCATAGGGCATCTTGCCTCTTCAGGTTTGTGTGTGTATATGCGCCAATATTGGGGCTTGAACTCGAGGCCTGGGCACCATCCCTTAGCTTTTTGGTGGTTAATTGGAAATAGAGTTTCACAGACTTTCCAGCCCAAGCTGGCTTAGAACTTCAGTCCTTAGATCTCAGCCTCCTTAGTAGTTAGGAAGACAAGCAAGCATAAGCTACTCTTGCCTGCCTTTCCCCAGTCTTCCATCCACAGACATTTGATTTGTTTTCCCCTCTTGGCTGTTGTAAATAATAATTGCCATGAATACAAACATCTGTTCAAGTTCCCACTTTCAACTCTTGGGTAAATGCAGGTGTGGAATTGCTGGATCATATGCTACTTTTGTGGGGGGTTTTATGTATTTGTTTTGAGCCATTGTTTCATTCTAAACTGGGCTGCCCTAGAACTCTCAGTTTTCCTGCCTCTGCCTCCCAAAGACTAGGATTACAGGTATGTACTTCTATACCCTTGTTTAATTGTTTGAGGCACTCCATACTGCTTCTGCAGCAGCTGTACCATTTTATAGCCCCCAAAAGAGCACCAGAGTCTTACATCATTTCCTCTTACAGCCGATTGCTCTCCTGTACCTCCAAGGGAACAGGTGTCTGCTGGGGACCAAGGCTGCTTGGCCCCCTGCCTGAGTAGGGCCCTGTGCTTAGTTTCTTGCTTTTCTGTTATCATCTGGAAATGCTTAAAATTTTTCAAATAAGATTCCCTCCTCTTCATCACAACTACTACCACCACCACCCCAGGCCTTGTAAGTTGTGTAGCTGCCTCTGAGTAGCCATGTCTTTCTGGGTATAGACTCCACAAGTAACATTCCACCAACAGTCAAGGCCTTCATGGTGAGTCCTCAGACTCTTTGCTGAGGGGGCAGCGTGGGCAAGGGCCAGGGTCCCTGACTGGATGACCATGAACACAGGTCCTCATCATGGTGCTGTGTGTTACTACTCCCATCTGTGAGACAAGAGAGCGGTGCTAAACCATTTTCTAATAGTGTGAGGCAGTGGGTCAAACTGCCTGTCGGTGTGCCATCTAAGGCTCCCTGCACATACCAAGGATGAGACTAAAGGGAAAGCCTGGTGCTGGCCTTGCCTCGACCACATGGAGAGAAGGCTTCCTCAGGCCCTACAGGAAGAGCACTGGTGGAGACCTACCACAGCCAGATCCTGGTGCCCCCTGCAAACAAGGTCTGTATGTTCTTTTCCTCCGCTCCCCACAACGGTTGGCACAAAGCTTTGCCAGTGATCGGGGCTCCAACTTGCACACTAACCCCTCCAGGCTGTCTTGTGCAAGAAGCTAGGGAAAGCATTGCCCACCCCCAATCCCATGCCTGCAGAGTAGCAAGAGGAGGGGGGAGAGAATGGCAGGTGGAGGAGAGAGGTGGGTGGTAACTCTGAGAGCCCAGGAGCCCCCACAAGCTGCCACATCACCACTGAAACAGACTGAAACTCTGAGCCCTTTGAT